CAAAGTTCTAGTGTGACATCTAGGTCTCCCTTTCTTCTGATTGATTGTTCTACCTGCTGTTCAGTGGGCTTCATCTTGAGGCCAACTCCTCTCATGGTCATAAGACAGAAGCAGTAACTTTAAGCATCACATCCAGGCCCAACTGAGTCTCATGCTCTGCCTGCCCCTTACCCCTTCTTAGATATGAGGAGATTTTCCTCAGCATCCTCAGAAGAGACACTCTTCATTGGCTAGAGCTGGACTATGTGTCCTTCCTAGACCAATCATTGGCAAGGGGAGGATTATCACCGTTAATTTGGATTAATTGTGCATGGGGTAGAAGAGCTGTTAGGAGTTAGTCATCATTACCCTCCGTTGCTTAATATTAGGGCCCTCTATTTATCATATATATTGTATTTTCCCAGCTTCTCATTTCTTGCAATGTAGATTAAAATAGATCTTGACTGCCATATTTATAAGATGGTTTATTAGGTAAGCAAAGCATGATCACCTTCACATTGTAAAAATTCATATAAAAGACAAAAATTTAGCGTAAAAAAAAAAGAAATTGAAGTCTCTCAACCTCTGAGCCTCAAATTGAGTTTACTTCTTCAAGGACAGCAATCTGTGAGGCATGAGCCTTCCAAAACATTACCTGTGGATTTATGCACACATATATGTGTGTATACCAATTACAGGGTTTTACATACACTAAATCATCATGCACACACTCAGTAGCTTTTTTCACATAACAATTTGTTTTGGAGATCTTCCCATGTGAGTTCCCTAATGGTGGACATTTAGGTTGTTTCTAATTATTTGCTCTTACAAACAGTGCTATAATTAACATCCTTGTAAATGTCTCTTTGTGCATATGGGCAAGCATTTCTTTAGGGTAGCTATCTATGGTTTGGCAATTTCTACTGCCTTTAATTGCATTGCCTGGTATCTGGCAGACGATCTTCTGCATGTACAATAACTTTTCATGTCCGTGCACCATTATAGTGTAAGTTTTAAAAAGATGTTTTAGGCAACAATTAGGAATCTAAGTTTAAGTTCAAATTCTGTGTGGATTGCTATGGTCGGCTGAGGTGACATTTGAATAGAGATGCCTCTACTCATGGTGAAGTTTTTAAAGGTACTGATGGTTGAGTTAGGTAGCAGCAAGATCCCCCTGTCCTCGGGGTCCCAAGACCATTATAAGGTACATTGTGAAAAATTGAGGTAGGGGGCTGGGTGTGGCAGCACATGCCCGTAATCCCGGCTACTCAGGAAATGAAACAGGAAGCAGGCAAATTCAAGGCTAGCCTGAGCAATTTAGCAAGATCCTGTCTCACACTAGTAAATCAAAAGGGTTGCGGTGTAACTCAATAGTAGACTGCTTCTAGGTTAGAACCCCAGTAACCCACCCACACAAGAATTGTAATATTAGGAGAATACAACTTAGAATCAAGGAGTAATGCTGTCTAATTTTCCCCAAATCAGTAGCCCATTGCTCCTCCTGAGTGTTCGAATATTTCCCCCATCGGTTCTGGCACAGGTGTGTGTGTTGCTGGACGGGTCCTCAGCGCGACCTTCCTGTCTGTCCTGTGCTGGCTCATGGCTGAGCTCCCTGCACACTTCCTCCTGGGGACATTCCTGCACATTTGTCTGCTGTTCTTTCTTTTACTCTTCCTTTTACTCTGGGTGCTTCCTTAGCTGCTCACAATTCGCAGGACTTTGTATCAGTTTGGCTGTGAGAATATCTGCCGCACTCAAGAGCATGTTTTTTTTGAGGCCTTGACACTGAGCTTGCCATGAGCATGAAGGAACTCATTCTCTCTCTGTCTCTCTCTCTCTCTCTCTCTCTCTCTCTCTCTTCATCTCCTAGCATTACTGCTCCAACATCAGTTATGCCTGAGTCTTGAATGGTGTCAATCTAAGTTGAAAATGTGCCAGCTTTCTTAACATTATCACTAACAGACTGCTTAATTAACCCACTGATACTGTCAATAGTAGATCTTGCTGGTGTGTCAGAAAGGAGACCACGGTTTGTTCTCTCTCTCTCTCTCTCTCTCTCTCTCTCTCTCTCTCTGTCTCCCCACCCTGCTGTCTCTGTCTGGGAGATGGACTTCCCAGGAGTGGGGTGGAACTGGGGGAGGCTTGAAAGGGACATATATGGCTGAATCAGAAGTTCTTGATGACATGATGGGTATGAAAGAACTATCACAGGCTTGTGTTCTCATTGCTCAAGGGCTGGGGTGGCTAGTAGCTTGCAGATTCTGAGGTGCTCAGTAAACGAAGCACCAATGTACATAGTCAAGAGATGACAGGACACATGCCACCAGGAAAAGCCCTGGGAGTCGCTATCCTTCTGGAATGGTTAGGGTCTTCTCTACCTTTTTACATCCGGGCCATTTAGAGGAGAGAGGTGCATTGTCATCCCCAATAGTGTCCTGGAGAGGCTGTGTGAGGGGAAGGGAGGAGGTTGGACTTCTCTTTCTTTTGTGCTTCATATTTTGTCTAACATGGTTTTGTAACCGAACCAAGGTCTTTCTGGATTCCACTATTCCTGCATTCCATGTTTGGAAATTGTGAGATGAGCTGGTCCACCACCTCCAAGTCCACGTCTCTCCTCTCTGTTTCCACCCACACATACACACACAAAATAGGGGCTAAAGACATTTCAGCTGTACCCACTTCTGCCCCAGCATGGGTACAGGCGCAAAGACTGGCATTCTGTGTGTGCAACCTACACCCAGGGACCCTGCAGGATTCTAAGTGGTGCCTCTCCTTTCGTACCTGGGAAGGGCCACTAAGGCGAGGAGTGGTGGCCTCTGACCTTCAGGGCACACTCAGGCCGTGGGGCCCCACTTCTGTAACTTTGCCTTTTTTTCAAGCATTGTTTGTGGCAGAGGAAGACATTCTCAGAGGGTGTAAACTTATGTATTGGGCAGAAAACCCTACTGTCCCCTTCAGTGGTTTTCTTGGTCTCCTGGGAACTGAGGGCCTAGCAGCCCCAAGGGCATGGAGTGTGTAGAGCATCCCTACTGCCACTAGAGGGCGGGTCACTAACACAGAGGCCAGGTGCCAACTTCCCAAGGCCACTGGGGCAAGGAGCTTCTGTGCCCTGAGTATCCCGGAACAGGAGTTCACTTCCAGGGTGAGCAGGAGGAGAGCATAGCCAGGACTGAAAGCTAAACCCAGATGGCCCCAGACCCAGGTTGCCAAGCTTTCTCTGCTGCCTGAATCTCTCTTACATCAGATTCACACTCCTAATTCCCTCTCTGGTTGTGGTTCAGAGGGGAAGCTTCTCCCCCAGTGTCATCACTGGAGGTGCAGCAGTCCTTTGCTGGGGGACTGCTCCGTGCATCACAGGGCGTTTAGTAGCATCCCTGTTCTCTGCCCACTGGATGCCAGCAGCACTCCCCCCCCACTCCCAGATTGTGACAATCAAAAGCATCTCCAGATAGGACCAAATGTCCCTCAGAATCCTACCTGGTTGTTCACCTCTGTTTATAATGGGTAAGTGCGCCTGCTGTGGGGACAGGAAGGGCAGAGGCTTGCGAACGCCCCAGCCGCAGAAGTCTGCCCGCGGTTAACGCTGCAACATCGTGTGGCAACAGTAGATGCTCAAAGATGGCATATGTGCTCTAAATACATTTTAGAACTGTATTTGCTCTCCTGCTTTTCCTCGCTAAAGACTGCAGAGCCTCTCAGTCTTTGCCTCCCCACGTCACCGTAACAGAGATGGCCTTAGAGACACCAGGGTCTCAAGCTACCCCTCACCTGCAGAGTCCTGACCCCCAGCTGTGAGCCTCTGAGACCATAGGCTCCCTGGCCCTTGGCTCGGGCTCCAGGAGCATCTGTGGGCTCCCTCCTACTCCGCCTGCCCACTGGGCCCTGCCGCCCTCCAGCTCCCCAAAGCCGGGTGCCCCCCCACACACTGGAGGGGGGGAAGCAGCAGGTGTTGATGCTAATCAGCGTTCACAGCCCAGAACTGCAGTCGCTCCCAGGCTCACACACTCCCCAAAATTAAACACTCATTATACAAAATTAATTGACATTAATTAGCAAAAATTAAAACTTTAAACACAGCAAGGCGCTTTGGGGGGAGGAGTGAAGCAGGCGGGCTCTGCATTTGTCACCCCCACTTCCCACCCACCCGCCACCCCCAAACCTCCCCCACTTCTATCCTGAAACGGAGCTGGTGGAGTTCAGGACAAGGCTCACTGCACCCCACTAGGAACCCAGGCCTGATGAGGCCCACAGGCTGTGTCCAGTGCTTCAGTGAGGCACTGGAAGCCATCCCTCAGTTCTGGTCCCCAAGATCCCAGCTGAGGCGGGAAGACACGGAGGCAAACCAGAGCGGCAACCATTGGAAGACCCCCACTTATCCCCACCTGTCTTTTGAATACCTAGAGGTGTAGGTACCAGAGCCTTTCTGCTCTGTCCCACTTTGCTGTGTGACCTCCATTCAGTCATCCCCCTCCCTGAGCTTCAGTCTTCCATCCATATGATGAGGGGGTGGTGCTGGGTGAACACTGAGGTTCCTGCCTGCTCTAGCACCTGCTCTCAGAGATGCAAATCTCTGGGAACTTGATTTGCTCTGAGAAGCATGAGGGATTGAATGTGGAGACTGGCATTTCAAGAGGATAGGACAACCCCACGGGCTGAGTCACTGATGGTGGAAGATCAGGCCTCCAGAGGATCTGTGGCTAGCCAGAGAGCCTTCCCAGAGCTGCATCCATTTTGCCTGCCTGAAGGGCTGCCCCAGAGGAGAAGAAAGCTGCACCTTTTATAGGTGGTGGTTTTCTAAGCCCTGAATGGTCCCTACCAACACCTGTGATTTTCCATCTTTGCTCACGAGTTCCCAAGGGTCCTCAAATCCTTCACTAGCACGATAGGAACCACAACTTCTCCCAGTCTTTTTGCAGTCTTGGCATTTGTTCAGAAGTGCAGGGGCAGGGCGGGGTGCTGGTACGCCCCCAGGTGGAATTCCCGCTCCCCCTCACCAGTTCCCTGCATCCCTTTCTCTCCAGCCAGTGCCAATATCTGCAACGTGGTCCTGATGCGGTACGGGGAGCTGGAGGAAGGGATTGATGTCCTCGATGCTGATGGCAACCTCGTGGGCTCCTCCAAGATTGCAGCCAGACACGTGGGTTGGCTTGAGGGGTTAAGGGACCTTGGCAGTGGGTTGATTTTCTTATACTACTTCCTGGGAATTTCTTACCACAATACCCTGGTTTTACCCTTTTTAAGTCTCCTCCTCACCTTCCCCCCCTTCCTATCTGCGTGAGCTTCAGACCTCTAGGTCTGTCCCCAGCCAAGCCTGTTCCACAGGATAGTCCTTCATTTCTATAATCCTCTCCTCCCATAACCACTGTAAAGTGCCCTCATTTCTTGTCCCAGCCCCTCAGGACCCAGCTTCTCAGATGAAGTGTTAATTGGTGAGGATAAGGGAGACCTCCCCCCACTCCCCAGGGCTTGCTCCTGGTCCCCAGGACCCAGGGACCTGTCACCCTGGGCCTCACCACCCTCTTGGGTACAAAGAGGAAGCTGCAGGTGAATAGAGTGTGAGCTGGCTAATAGGTACTTCTGCAGCGCTGCCTCACTGGGACCCAGCACTGGGAGCTCTGGGCTCTCAGGCTTTTGAAGGCAACTGGAGAAAAATATTTTGTTACGAGACCCTCTTTCTCATCTTATTTCACTGCCCACCCCCACTGTGATTTAAGGAAAAAACCTCAAACCTCCTAGTGCATGTATACATGTCATGTGCTTCCCAGGCCTTCATCCTGATGGTGGTTTGTGTCTTGTCCTGTTGTCCTGGGCTTTAGTCTCTGAGTGCTGGAAAGGGCAAGTGGTCAGCCATGAGGTGGCTGAGCATCCACCCCTGTCCGTGAAGCCTCTTGCTAAGCCTGCAGTCTGGGAAGAACATTCTGTGAGTCCCCACCCTCCTGGCCCCATCAATCTCAGTGAAAGGCTGTGCCTGTCCATCCTGGGGCAGGCCAGAAACTGGAGGCCATGCAACAGTGCGAGTTCTGCCCTGCCTGGCTCGGGGCCTCTTATCCTTCCCACAGCTATTCAGGAGCCCCAAGGGACCTTCTCTGCGGCCTTCCCAAGGCTGGTCATGGATTTAGTCTGTTTCCTACCTGACCCCAATGCTGTTCTTTTCCCCAGTCGTCATCAGGTAGGACAGTTATGACAGCTCTTTCTTATGGTCAAGCAGTAAGGAAGCACAGGCACTTCTGCGGCCCTGGCCTTTCTTCAGCCTAGCCGCATCTTTTCCTTGCTGTCTGGGGAAAGACTAGGATCTGCAGGCTACGAGCCATAGCCGGAATCTCCTCTATGGATGGAAGCCTGTGGGGTTAAAGAGACTCTCCATATTCACCATCAGAGCATGGAACTGCCACTGAGCTGGGCCACAAGGATCCTGTGGGATCCCCAAGGGCAAGGGAATAATGCCAAGCAGACCCTTGATGGAAACCCTTAGGGGTTCAGCAGAAACAGCCCCTTACAAGGCTGACTTCTTGTCACTAGGAAAGAGTCTTCCAGAGCCAAGAGACAGAGATGTTTTGACTCTTTGTCTTTAAAAGATGCACCTCCCAAAAAAGTGAATTCTAGAACCTGTCTAGCCCCAGTGGTTTGTTCTGGCCCTTCCAGCACCTGCTTTGTTTTGAGAGCATCTCGGGTTCTCCATGTGCTACTCCCAGCCCCTACATAACCAACCCTGGGAGATTGCCCATCCACCCAAAGCACTTGCCTGAGCATTGGCCCCTTCCTTAGGCTGCTTCTGTTACCACCTTCCAACACGTGGCAGGAGACAGGAATCTGCTTTTTCCAAATATGTGTGGTGAGAAGACAGAGGTGGCTTTTTTCTGTTGACTGGAATGCAACTTTGTGAGCAATTCCATGAATAATTCTATGTTGCCAGATGTGCTTAGCAGCAGCACATACACCTAGAACCTCTGGGGCAGGGTGGGCTTCCAGGGGACTGTGTTTCACCGCAGAAACCTCTCACTGCAGCTTGTCTTGCCCACAGGCCCTGCTGGAGACAGCACTGACTCGAGTGGTCCTGCCTATGCCCATCCTGGTGCTCCCCCCAATTGTCATGTCCATGCTGGAGAAGTAAGTTGGGCAGCTGGAATGGAGGGACAAAGGGGAGGACGGTGTGGGGATCTCATGGACCTAAGGGAAGGGACAGGGAAGCTGGTGGCAGCCCGGCCAGTTTTTCAGGGATGGAAAATACCCTGCTCTTTATCAAACTCTCTCTCAGGAAGTGGGGGTAGAATGGTTCTGTGAAAATTTGTGGACTTCCATTATGCAGGCTGTGTGCTTGGTGCTATGGGATGGCCACAGGCAAGATTAATCCCACCTTGAAAAGCTGGTGGTAGGGGCTGGGGATTTAGCTCAGTGGCATAAGCACCTGCCTTGCAAGCAGGCAGTCGTGAGTTCGATCCCCGGTACCGATAAAAACGAAAAACGAAAAGCTGGTGGCATGCACGTGTGCATGTGTGTTTGTGTGCACACACCCATGCATGTATGTGTATACCCATGCTCTCCTAGTAAATGGTGCAGGACCACCGTGAGACGGAATCTGAGGTCTCAGGTAAGAAGCTTGGATTTAGGGCCAGCATTATTCCGTACAGGCATCCACCATGAGTAGCCTCCCTGCCTCCCTCCGAAGGTTGGCCTGAGGATGCATATCTGCCATGACTGTAAATAAATAAGGGAACATAATATTAATAAGATGAAGCAGCAGGACTGCAAGTTTGAGGCCTGCCTGGACAACTTAGCAAGATCCTCTTTCACATAAAAAAGGGGCTGGGGATGCAGCTCAGTGGTAGAGCCCCTGAGTTTGATCTGCAGTATGGGGGGAGGATCTGCAGTATTGGGACCAGCAGATAATGAGTGTGAAAATGGAAGGTGAGTGTGAAATTGAAGTGGTGCTGTAGAGACAGCCTGAGCAGAAAGGGAGGAAGAAGCCACGCCCTGAGATCTAGGGTAGTCGTAGGTGAATAGCACAGAGCTGCGAAAGGCCCTAAGTGAAGGGAATCGAGGGGTTTAGAGCCCTGGCTTGTGTGGGTGATGGTGAGGAGGCGATGGCTGAAAGCAGGATAGTTTTTGCAGAGGGGAGGGCTCTCTGGGGAGGGTGCAGACCTGTTCTGCAGACATTAGGGAATCCAGCCTGGCCAAAGCAAAGCATGCTCATTGGGACCAGCAGATGGAAGACTTTGTGCAGCTGGCTGAGATCATCTTTGTCACCCTAGAAGAGGTTAGTGCCTCTTGGTACCTGAGCAAGTTGTGCTGGACATTGTGAATGAAGAAAATTCATCTAGGATGGAAATTCCAAAGATGAAAATAAGTAGATCTGAAGAGAGCAATCTCTTTTGTGCCTCTAGGCCTTATATCTGTAGCTCCCTTGAAAAATAAGGTTGCCCCCCAAAACAAGCCACTGCAGGTACACACAAAGAGATGACAAGCTCCAAGGAGGGTCTCTGGGGAGAAGAAACAATCTACCCCGAGATGCCCCATGAATATCAAGATGAGTAAGACCTGGTCTGCACCCTCAGACCTGCTCACGAACTGCAGGACACGGCAGCAAGAGGAAGGACAAGGTAGGAGAGGAAACTGAGACTTCTGATAGGAGAATGAAACATGGGCTACTGCCTCACGATTGCCTGACAGTCTGCTGCGATCACCAAACTTGTCAACCTTAGTTTCTCCCGGAAAAATGAGGACACTGTTCACTGGGGGTTTGTATTTCGCACCATCCTGACGCTCTGTGGTCCATTATAGGGGCCCTACCAAGTGTGCCCTTCTTAGGGTCCCTAGTGCAGAACCTCTGTTCAAGAGGCTCATGGGGGAGGTAGCTCCCACCCTCTGGAGCCCAGGATGGGTGAGGGAGTCCGGATAGCCAGGAAAAAAAGACAAAAGAACACTTACAAAGCAGCCTACTTGCAAATTAATGGAGTGCAAATTAAAACTGTGCTCCAAGTGCTGAAGGAATGCACAGCAATGGGGGAGACCAGCTGTTGTGTGGCAGGGCTGGGACTTGACTTGCTTGCCTCTGGCCTCACTTTATCATCTCTAGGAGGAACACTGAGCTGAGGAGCCAGAGCTTCCTGCTAGGATAGGAGAGGTGGGAGCTATCAGCTCCACAGTCCTTGCCTCTGAGACTGAAAGGAAAAGTCTCCAGTAAGAAGTACAGGGACCTTGGCCTGCTGCCCAGAGCTGGGCTGCCTCAGGAGTGCAGGTGTACAGAGGTTGCATCCTCTAGCGCCAGGGTGGAAACTGGGTTTTGATTTAGGGCTCGGATGAGCCCTCCCAGATGTAATGTCTGTACCTTTGAGGCCAGCACCTGTGCTGCGTCTGGAGGACCATAGCTCGCTCTTGGGCCCTGGGATGCATATGGAAAATGCAGGCTGGATCTAAGTTGGGTGGGGGTCCAGGCCACACCCTTGGTGGGTCCCTGAATCCGCTCCCCCATCCTCCTTCATTCCCTGGGATCCGGGTCTTTCATTTCTCCAGGCATTTGCACATCTCTCCATCTGCATATTTTAACTCCCCCAGCTGCCTTTCCAATCCCTCCCTGCCATTTCCCTTTCCTCTTCCCCTCCCCCTGCCCTGCTGTGTTCACGCTCTGCCTGCTGGGGCTGGGAGTACTCCTGTGCTCTGATTGGACAGGCCTTGGGCCTTTCTCTTTCCGGAATTGGGAACACAAGCCTAGGGCTTCCTGGGCTCCCTGCGCCCAGAGACTGCAACCAGGCACCTCAAGAGAAGAGCCCTAGTCACAGGCCACAGAGAAGGGGATTTATGCAATGCTCTGTCACTCTGGAAGTTCCAAGGTGGGAGCCCAAGGGCTGCCCCTCACCTGCCTGGAGGGAATTTCACAATTTCTCCCGTCACTCTTTCTTGCCTTCAGAGACCCTCAGGGGTGTCTCCTGAAATATCACACCCTCATGTCATTTCCACTGGAACAGGAGACAGCTCCCCTTTGCACAACTTGGGCTCTGAATCTGAGCTGAAAGCCATCTCAAGGTTGGTCCTACCCTTTCTCCATTCCCTCCATAACTCCTAAGAAAGTCCAGGAGGCCTTGAGCTGGTTCCAGGGAAGCTTTGGAGCTAGCAGAGACCAGAGGGAAAGATAAGCGGCCTGTGTTCCCAATGCTCTTGATTCCGTGGAGTCCCCTCTCCTATTGCTCATCAGGCTTAATTTGACAGCTGGACAAATCTGCACCCATGTGAGAGACTAGAGGACAGCTCAGCCACCAGGCTGTTACTCTTTCTTGCATGTAACACAGGCAATAACCACAGCAATAGTGACACAATTACAGAGCACTTACTGAAGCCCAAGTAAGAACTAGCCTTTATCTTGCGCAAAATTAAGTTTATTGCTCTTAACAGAGACATCCTGGGACAGGATTTCTTAAAAGTGTGATCTTGGAATCACCTATTTTAGACTCAAAGGAGTTGTTTCAATTATAAATTGCTACATCTTCTACCAAAGGAATCAGACTCTTGGGGTGCAAGGGGCCCTTGTGAGTCTGCATTTTTAACCAGCTGCCTAAATCATTTCAATTCACACAAAAGTTTGAGAACTGCTGCTCCCAATTTTGCTATTGGCTCAAGGCCAGGTATTCTGGGGATTCTTGTCCCAGGAAATGAGATGAGGGTTGCCAGCCCCTATACTGTGGACCTAGCCCAAAGGGCCTATGTTAGTCAGCTTTCTATGACTGTAACAAATACATCAGAGAGAGGTATTACAAAGAGAAAAGGTTTATTTTGGCTCATGGATTCAGAGGTTTCAGTCTGTGATTGATTGGCCATATTGTTCTGTTCTGAGGAGGAAGCATATCATGGAAGAAATAGGTGAAATAGCAAATCTGATCCTCTTATTGCTTGGGAGGAGGAGGAGGGGGAGGAAGAGGTTGAGAGAGAGAGAGAGAGAGAGAGAGAGAGAGAGAGAGAGAATGAATGAGCAAGCCTAGTGTCTGTTTCCTTCAAGGGCATGTTTTCCCGGTGACCTAAAGACCTTCTACTAGGCCCCGTATATAGTAGGCAAGCACTCTACCACTGAGCTGTATCTTCAGCTCTTCATCTTTTCCTCTTCTGTCTCTCTCAATAGCATCTTCCTACGTCGTCCAGGCTGCCCTTGATCTTCCTGCCTCTGCCTCCTGAGTAGCTGGGATTACAAGTGTGTTCTACCACACCAGGCTTTAAGCCCCACCTCTTAGGGTTTCTATCACACTGGTGACTAACTCTTTAACACATGGCTCTTTGGGGAACATTTAAGATCCAAACCATACCAGAGGCCTCTCATCTATGTTCACGCCAGGGCTGCTCCAGTGGGTTGACACAAAAGTTCCTATTGTATTTCCTTCACATCAGGACATGGAGGCTGATGCGGAGGTCAGATTTAGTGCCTACCAAACATCCCCTGGCCAACAGTCCAGTTTTGCAGCATGCTGGGTCCCTCATTCCTACATTGCTGCCAGCAAGTAGAATGCTATGGTTTCCACTATGGAGACTGCTGGCTCATGCACCATGGAAAACTCTGGTGAGTGTGGTAAAGGTGCACTTGCCAGCTGGTGTCACTGTCTAGGAATCCCATTCAGTCCTGGAGTTGGAACACCTCGGTCCCTGAAGGGGGGTTTTCATGCACCACTGCCATCCAGGAACTCACCTCCAAAACCTGCCACAGGGGGTGGGACCAGCTGTGCCATGCAGGGAATGAAGCTGGCAAAAGGCCCTGAATGTGGAGGCCAAGAGCAGCTTGGGATAACAGCACTCAGGGAATCAGGCAGCAGCAGCAGATTTGGCCTTGGTCCTGGCAAGTCCCTTCCCCTCGCTGGCTCTTGGATGAAGTTGATGAGGTGACCAGTGGGATGTCTTCTACTCGCACACATAGGACAGGACCACCCCCTCTGGACATGTACATGCATGTGTGTGTGCACGTGTGTGTGTGCTTTGTCTTCTCTGCAGGATGGTCTGGTTTGTTTGCAATTAATTGTTTCCTCCATGTCTCTCCAGCAGCAGGAACAAACAGCCCCTTCTATTGTCTCCCACACCTGGGACCTTCTTGACACAGGGCTGGACAGGGTGGGTGGCTACCCACAGGTACTCATTTATGATGAGTAATTGAAGATTCAACCAGCATTGTCCTTCATGACTGGTTCTGGGAGGAGGAGTGATGATTGGAGATGGTCACAAACCCAGAATTCTGCAGTATCTGTTTCGCTAGGGACTGTCCTAGCTGCAGAACCGGAGTGCTCCTGCCCTGAGACCGCAGGGTGGGTAGTAGCCAGCCTGCACCACCTCCAGGTGTTGGAGCCTCACGTACTCCTCCTTCCCTCTCCCCAACAGGACAGCTCTCCTGCAGGCGCGCCCCCGGCTGCTTCTGCCTGTGCAAAGCCTCGTGTGCCTGGCAGCCTTCGGCTTGGCCCTGCCGCTGGCTATCAGCCTCTTCCCACAGATGTCAGAGGTCAGTGGGGGTCAAGGGCAGAGAAGGGAGGGGTGCAGCTGGATCATTTATTACCAAAGACTTATCCAGTGATGAGACCTTAGCACTGTGGTAGGTACTAGGATTAGAGCTGTGAGACTGGCCAGGCTGTGGCTTCTCAGAGTCGAAGGTCAAGCAGTAAACACAAGGATGAAACAAGGACTAGCAAATGAAGTTAGAGTAGGGTTAGAATGAGAGAAGTTCAGCTGGACATAGGAGGGGACAGACCCGAGCAAAGTAGCAGTTCTCTGGGCCAGGGGCCTGGAGCTTGGGCTGGCGCTGGCCAGATGGAAGGGATGGGGCACACATGAGCTGGGGACCAGGTGGTGTGACCGTACTGAAGAGAAGCACATGGCACTTGCTAAGAGCAGAGAGTGGGTCAGGTGAGGGGAGCTGGGCCAGGTGGTGTGGGGAACTTGGAAGCCAGAGCAGAGAAGGTAAATGTTATCCTGAGGACCCCCCAAAGCAGGACTGCAGATTCCTGATTTTGAACAGTCCCCAGAGCTGTGTCGTGAGGCTGGGTTGGAGCTCTGGAGGAGAAGGAACCATCAGGAGGCTGTGGCGGGCGTCCAGCAAGAGATGATGGCAGCTTGGACCAAGCTGTTGGCAGTGGGCATCAAGAGAAATGGGGCCTTTGAGAGAGAGTTGGGTGGCCGCTTCATCAGGATTTCTTGAAGAACCGCGTGTGGTGTGAGGGAAGGGAGCCGGCAAGATGCATGTCTGGCTTTCTGGTTTTGAAAGCAGAAGGCAAATATAGGTACTGCTTTACAAGATGGAGACACGAGGAGAGGCAGGGTTGAAGGAGGACAGCATGTTGAGTTGGATGGACCCAGGGGTGTGAGGAGCCTGTGCCGCATCCAAATGGAGCTGCTCTGTGGGGAGCTGGCTCTGGGTCTGGAATTCAGGAGAGAGGGCTGGGCTCAGGGGTAGAAGTAGAGGCCACCGGGATAAAACCAGTACTGGTACAGACAGGTCCAGGTGAGTATGATCAAGGGCAGGTGGACCATCTGAGCCCCGTAAGGCTGAGGAGCCCTAGTTATCCTTCAGGCAAACCCTGGACCCAAGGGGTGGGGCCCAGGTGAAAGGTGAGGCTTGGCATGGAGGAAAAAAGAGAAACAGGGTTATAGCTAGAACAGATGTGGGATCCAGAGAACCTGTATTTATTTACTTTTCTCTTTTTAAAATAGGCGGGACTGGGACTTGTGTAAATTGAGAAGGGAAACTGAGAACATGGCACAAAAAAAGGGAGAGAACCAGAAGGCAGACCAGGGGGCCAGCCTGGGCAGGGTAGGAGCCCCCTCCCCTCTTTAGAGGATGGGGCAAAAGTAGGGGGCAGGTGAAGTGGGATTGAGAGACAAGCAGGAGGCCAGCCCAAGGGGGCAAAGAATGAGGGCGACCTGTAGAGTAACCAGGCTCACAGAAAGCACGGGAATGCGGAGCGGGGAGTCTGGGCCAGATAGGGACACTCTGCATTTGTGATTTCAGGATTGACCATGCTTCAGAAAAGAGCCATGAAAGGTGGTAGGAGGGGCAAGGGTTTCTGAAGGGAAGCCAGGAAAGGTGACAGTAAGAGGCAGGATGGTGAGAGCCAGCCTCCAGGCCCAGGTCCTGCAGGATCCCATCCAAGGCAAGCCAGGGTAGGAAGCTGGTGTGTGACAAGAGCCAGCATCCATCTGATGCTTCTGGGCTCAGCTTTGCCATGAGGACAGGAACATCCTTCCCACCCTCTGGAAAGCCCAGCCTGGATGCCAGCTTACCTAGTTTTAAAGACAGGAAGGAGAATATTCTTGGAGATCCCTGGGATCTGCATCCCTGACGGGCTGGACTGGCACTCCCTGAGTCCTTCTTTGTCTCTGTACAGTCAGCCTGAGCCCAAGGCTCTAGGTGAGGTTCCGAGGACCCTGCATGCTTGAAGCACAGTTGTGCTTAGAGTTTCAGGGACTTATGAGGGGAGGAACCCAGGGCAGAAAAACCAGGACACTGAATCTGAGCCTTTGCCAGCCACAGGGATTTCAAGGTCTCCTGGTTCTGCTGGAAAATGAAGGCCCTGGGCAGCCATGGGGCCAGCCCCAGGTCAAAAAGCCAGGTGTGAAATTGAGAAAACTGTGGAGACACAATTCCAGTGCAGAGAGGTGGTCCAGCAGCAGCTGTGTGCCTCACAGAGGTTCCCTGTCAGAGCCCAGCTTCCCTGATGCCCACCCCTTCCAAATAAGCATGGAAGACAGTTTTTCTAAGTATCTCACCAAAGTCCTCTTATACCACAACCCAAGCTACTTTCTCTAGATGGAGAAGAAAATTGTCAGTGCCTAAGAGGTCTTTGCTCCCCGGGAAGGGAGCGTAGGAGCATGGTTTTCAGAGCTATCTGTTCGGTCGTGTCAATCTCAAAGGGATGCAGGCTGCTGCATCCTTTGTGGGGTATTTTGAGGCCTGTCTGAGACCCATAGCACCAAGGCTATCAGCCAGTGGTTAAGAGGACCTCATGCTCCCCCATTCATCCTCCCAATTAATTCTAACGAGGTGCTTCTTGCCATACAGGGACCATGCCTCATCCTAGAAGCCAGTGGGATTTACTATAATAAGTCTGGACTTGTTTGGCCTGACCCAGCCTTGCCAAAAGTCACTAAGGTGTCAGCAGAAGTAATCACTGAAACACTAATTAATTAATTAGGGGACTTGGAGATCAAGTTTAGGAACTGGGTCCTAGAACAGCTGGCCTGCAGAGATTGGTGTGGTTTCTAGAGGATGAGGGGAGAACTTCAATCCCCTCTTCAATTCCTGGGAAGGAGCTTTTTTGTCTGTTCTTTCCAAATCAGTATTCCTGCCTATTAAGATGACACTGAGGGTCAAACTGCAAATAATGTTGATAATAATAATAATAATAATAATAATAATATGTTTTACTAAGAATCTACTAGACCAGGCAGCATGCTGGGAACTCTGCAGGCCTCATTATATTAAGTCCGCCTAACACCCTTCGAGTCCAAAGTATTATTGAATATCAGTGGATTTTAACTAGGCAATTGGATGTGTATAACCATGGCTCTGGGGAGAGATTTGGCTGAAAATAAGGAACCTTCATTGCACAGGAGGAACTGAAGCCAAGCAGCAGTGAGGTCACTGTGGGAAGAGGAAACACCATAAGAAAGGAAAGGAGGGCAACCCATTCAGGACCCCTACTACCTCTCAGGAGGTATTCCTATTCCCCAGTACACTTTCCTACTCTAAAAAGAAAGAGAGAGAGACAGAGAGAGAGAGACAGAGAGAGACAAGGGAAGAGGGGAGGGAAGGAGTGACCAGAGCCAGGAGGAGAAACCCAGGTGAAATATGTTCCTGGAAACTAAGGACATAAGCATTTCAGAGTGAGATACCACAGAGAGAATTTGTGGAGTAGATAAAACTTGATAACTGGGTGATAGAGCTAGATGTAGCAGTCTAGGAAGCAAAAATGGTAGTCAATTTTTTGTCCTTGTTCAGAGAAGTGAGCTCAGGGATAGGTAAGCTTGAGAGAGCAGCAAAACATATTCACTCTTTGGGGTTCTGGGAAATGGAGGGTGGGAGCTTGGCAAAGTGATTGGGAGACGGCCCATAGCCCAAAGTGGGAAACCATGGCCTCCTGGGGTCCTGGGGCCCAGTGGGAAGAGGGGCCCAGTTGACTTGCTATGGCAAGGAACTGGCGAGTCCAGGACATGGCAATCCTACAAGGCAGGCACCAGTATCCCTTGTTTACAAATAAGGAAACTGTGCTCATAGAGTTTGAATACCTTGTCTGGGGTACATGTTGGTAATGGTGGAGCTGGCTTAGTACCAGGCAGAAAGATTCTACAGTCCTTCTCACCCTGTCCACATCTCACTGTAAAATGAGACCTCAGTGTGTGACCCAGGTCCCTCATAGCTTACTCATCAATAAGAACATTCTAGCATCCTCCCATAGGCCTCCTATCCTTGGTATCCATTTTCACAGGGACCTACTAGAGTGTGCGTCTTGGTTTTCTGAGAGCTGAGGAAAAGATAGAGTGTGTTGGTCTAAGAGATGGACCTGGACTCTCCTCATGACCCATGTGAGAACTGGGGGATAGCGCCTGGCCTCCCCCCAGTCTCACTGCCTGTGCAGGGCAGTCTACACAAATGGGCCCTGAAACCTGACCAGATGGGCCCTATTACCCAGGCACACTTGGCTAGGCTGTCCCCAGCATGAGCAGGCCCATTGGCACCCAGAATCTGTTCCCTGCCCTGTAATCCCTCTTATAGACTGGGAGGACTTTCCCTTCTTGTAAGAGTTGTGGTTAGATAATGACTTGGGGTCTCAGCCAGCCTCCAGTCCTATGGTGGAGACAGTAGGGAAGATTCTTCTTGCACTTGCCAGCACCCACTTTAGGTCAGGTAGGAAGTAGAAGCCTCCCTCTGTTGTGATAGGTTTGTGATGGCCCTTCCCTTTCTGGTCCTTCCCTCTCTGGAGATTGAGGCTGGGAATTCCAGGCCTCAGTGGCTGTCTTTATCTCTCTTCCCCACACTCACGCACATACACGGGTGCCTCGGTTCCCTCAAGGAGGTCCAGAGTCCAATCTGTGACCTATGGGCTTGGGTGCCACAAGAGGCTGAATAGGGTGATGGCAAATGTCCCTCCAACTCCAACAGCTGGTGCTCCCTCCCTGGAAGCGCTTCCAGGCCTGTTTAATGAACCTCATGTCTCCTGGGAGCAAGAGGCGGTACCTTGGCCAAGCCCCACTTCCCTCCACCCTGCCTCTGTTTCTGCTTCTGTCCTTCTTTGTGCCTCTTTTCCCTTCCTAGATTCCTCTCTATCTGTCCCCAAATCCCTAGTGTGTCCTTCCCCCCTTCCCCCACTGTTTCCCCAAGAGCTGAGGGGCTGGGGAACAGGGCTGCACATACAAGCCGGAGCCATTGTTCAACAATCTGTTTTTGTCCTCATCTTGTTGGCAGGCGGCCGGAGAGGAGCAAAAGGTTAATGAGGCACTGTGAACGGG